AGAGAGCGAGAGAGCTGGGGGGGAGGGAGGGAGGGAGAGAGAGAGAGCTAGGGAGAGCATACCTTTATCTATTTAATATAGATAAAGTAAGAAATCATTCCAATGTGTACTATAGGACAGTAAAAAAAATCAAAAAACAGTTTGAAAGGGGAGTGATTAGTAAAATATGCATAAATAAAAAGATAGCATGCTAACTAGGTAACATAAGATAAGAATAAACCAGTTTAAATGATTTGTTATTGGTTGTGATCATATTCTAAAGATGTTTGGATTATTGAAAAGTATACAGCTCTCTTTCATCTGAGTGTTGAGAGCTGTATCCATCAATTCATGTTGTGCTCAAAGTGCTCCAGATTGATGCATGTCACTTCAACATTAAAAAATAATCTTCCTGGGGGTGCATGCCCCCCGACCCCCCCTAGAGGAGGTGAGGGCCCCCCTGGAGGAGGTGAGGCCCGTCCACCCCCAAATAAAGCAGGTTAAAACAATTAGATTGCATACATGTTCTTTTAGTAAACACTGCAAACGGGTCCCACAGACCCAAACAGACACAAAGGTTAAAGGTCAGCATATCATGTTAAAATGTGCTAAATATATACACTGCAAAAAAAGAAAAGAAAAGAGGAGTAAAAGTAGCCCCCGACTTGTTTTATTTTTTAAAAGTAGCCCTCATCCTAAAAAAAGGTTGGTGACCCCTGGTATAGAGGCTACAACCTGAAATACAGATGATATCATTAGTAGTCATTTGGGGTTGTTTCAAATTTATATTGCTCTATGATGTGGGTGTTTTTAGTCGAGTGACTTGGTGTAATATGCGACATGTTGTACACCTCAATACATATAGGGCAAGGGGGGAGATTACTGTTCTGGGTCATTAAGTAGTTGTGAAGAGGGGAATGTGCTTTAGTTGGAAGTGGGTGGCTCTTAAAAGAGCCTTTGTCGTTTGTTGAAGCGGGATCAGGGTGTTCACTTCTTGGCAGCCTTCTCGGTCTTCTTGGGCAGCAGCACAGCCTGGATGTTGGGCAGCACACCTCCCTGAGCGATGGTCACTCCTCCCAGCAGCTTGTTGAGCTCCTCGTCGTTGCGGACGGCGAGCTGCAGGTGACGGGGGATGATACGGCTCTTCTTGTTGTCCCGGGCGGCGTTTCCAGCCAGCTCCAGGATCTCAGCGGTCAGGTACTCCAGCACAGCGGCCAGGTACACCGGGGCTCCAGCACCGACACGATGGGCGTAGTTACCCTTCCTCAGATGCCTGTGGACACGGCCGACGGGGAACTGGAGCCCGGCACGGGATGAGCGAGTCTTGGCCTTCGCCCTAACCTTTCCTGCACCTTTGCCTCGGCCTGACATTTTCTATGTGATTATTCTTCGACGTTAAGAAGAAAGTAACTCTATCACAGTTCTCACCAGTTTATATAGGAGCGCAGCTGTACGCTCATTGGTCAGATTGATCCGTAACTGTGATCGTCCAATCAGAAAACAGGTCGGTCTGCCGCCTGAATTCTTTTCAGAATGAGACTGTATTTTCTGAAATTGTTTTCACCCGTTCAAAGATGAATATAAACTAATTGTTTTGCTAGGTATTATTCATTCTGTGTCTTTTTATGCACCAAATAGCAAATTCCTTGTATGTGTTAACCTACTTGTAATAAAACCTATTCTCATTCGTATATATACACTGTACATACATTATTATATTTGCAGCACTTAAGAAACAAATATAGCTTTATTTGTAAAGCATTTTATAACCTCCAGGTAGAAGTGATGTACAATACAAACAAAAATATGTAAAAATAGTGCTCAAAAATTCAAATGAACAAAATGTAAATAGTAAAAGCCAGATCACAGGAAGATGATCCAAGTGAGCATGGCAGTTTAATGTCACTACCACCAATAAATAATTTCAAAACCAGTTTTAAAAAAAGAAGGGTGTTCACTTGCACCAGATTAAGATAAAATATAAAACGGTTGAAGAACTTTGTCTATTTAAAAAAATGAAAATGATAACCTAAATCAAGAAATATGATATCATACATAAACAATCAGATACTATATTACCCAAGGCAATCTAGTGCAAGCCATTCAAACTGGTCCAAAAAGAAAGCATTTCATATATTTCTAGAGATTACATGAAGGCTGTCCTGATGCCTTTATAACAAACCTGTAAATGTCTGAATTGAATCGAGTGTGTGCATTAATGCAAATGTTTTTTAAGTAAAGGGCTTTCCTGTATTTATATATGTGATCGATGTATTAAGCTAATGATTCCATGTGGAGAGAAGGGCTTTAAACGTAATAAATAGGCTAGGGAAAAGGTACACATTAGATAGTATATACCCATAGACATTTCCAAAACCTAATGTAAATATTGAAATAACAGAAAAGAGGTGAAAGTGGACAGCAATGCTAACAATATTTTAGACATTTGTTTTTGGATATCTGAAGTATAAGCACTAACAGAGCATGGTATAATGACAACTTGGCAGGATATCTTGAATAACTGAGTGTAGAGATAATAACATAATTTAAATCTGTCAATGTCAACTAATATAGGTGAATGTAGAATGTTGTAGATCAGGACTCAATGAAACCATATAACATCACATAAAATGTGAGACTTAAAGAATGTGGGAAACATAATTAGTTGATAATGTATGAATATGATGTAGAAGATTCAGTGTAAAAATAGAAAGAATTAACGAAAGGGTAGTGAGAAGAGCTGTCTTTTACTATTATTGGTGGACATCAGCTTGTTGTAGCTGGTTGGTGTAGTTTTTTGATGAAATGCTTGTAATTAATTTCCTCCACAGGTATGAGTGGAAGTTCACAGGCCCATTATTGAGTTAGGTGTTCATCCTCAAATTCAGGGAAGATAATACAGACCTAGTTCTTTCCATGATGACATGTTTAGCCTTAAAAGCATACATTTGGGTGCCTAAAACACCATTATCATTACCTGTAAATCAGTCCTGTTATCTAAACTGATAATGTGTGATATCTGACAAGTTATCTGTTCATGACATGTTGATATTTAGATTTGTTATATTTACAAGATTATAGAATTAAAATAAAGAACAAATAACTGAAGTGTTCCAAATTATTTTCTAACACAGGTATTGTGTGATATACTGGATAGTCCCAAAGAGGATTTTAAACATTTAAAATGTGTAGCTCCAAATCATCCTGACGACCTTTTCTTTAAATCTCGGGAATCATTAGATACATAACTGAAATGGCTTCAAAACCACTTTGATTACTGTGGACAATACCCAGTGGCTGACTTGTGACATTGTGGTATTTAGAACAGAATTGATTTGTACATCTTGGATGTCGTATAAACAACATTGTCCAATAGGTGACATTTTTAATATCAAGAATCCTAGCAAGAGTTCTGTTGATGGAATTTAAGTTTGATATAATGTTCATTGACTGAAAAATGTGATATTGCCGAAGGAAAGAGTCTTTAAGTAATGTGGGTGGCTCTTAAAAGAGCCGTTGTTTTTCCAGGTATATCAGGGTGTAGATGTTTAACCTCCGAAGCCGTACAGAGTGCGGCCCTGCCTCTTCAGGGCATACACCACATCCATGGCGGTCACGGTCTTTCTCTTAGCGTGCTCGGTGTAGGTGACGGCATCACGGATCACGTTCTCAAGGAAGACCTTCAGCACCCCACGGGTCTCCTCGTAGATCAGACCGGAGATACGCTTCACTCCGCCACGGCGAGCCAGACGGCGAATAGCGGGCTTGGTGATGCCCTGGATGTTATCACGGAGAACTTTACGGTGACGCTTGGCGCCTCCTTTGCCGAGTCCCTTTCCTCCTTTTCCTCTACCACTCATTTTCGAGTATTGATATGTCGGCTCGTACAGAACGAATGGATAGAAGCAGTGTGACCGGCAGTATTTAAATATTCACTGCGGACCTAAGAGAAGACGGAGAGCGGGAAAGCTGCTAGGCGGGGCCAACGCTGCAGCCTCCACATTATCTTTCAAAACATTTTCTCTTCCTTTAAATATTGCTTATATAAATCAGTCAGGCTTTATACTAAGCGTTTGATGATTAAACGTTTGTTAATATATAATAAAACCCTCACATGCTTAATAACATTTATAATTGAAATAAGACCCTTTCTGAGATTAACATTACATTTAAAGTTGATCAAAGTATTCAAAAAAGACTCTTTATGAGACATTCATTCTAAACTGTTTCTGATGAGTCAAGACATACATTTGTATAAAACATGTCAACCATTTGACATAAAAGTAAGAATTAGTCCAATAGAAACACCTGAATCTATACACTGTATTTAGGTGTGGTTGTGTGGCCAAAAAATCAAGAAATGTACCAAATAGTTAATGGTAAATATAAAATATAAAGTAACAGACAAATAACCTTGGATTTCTTCAACTTATAACATATTTCAGCTCTCACAAAATGTTATAAGTCTGGTCAATTAAAGCTTTTCATTTACACATTTAAAAGGTACTTTTGTAGAGAAAATTATTTGTTAGAAAATGGTATTGCCTTATGGAAACATTGACAGATTGTATTTTTTTTTACAAGATAATAAAAACAATATAACTACTGTTTAGCTCTGATAATGATATGCTATCGTATCGAGTCTTTAGCAGGGTTTAGATAGACACAATTGAGAAGGGTCAAACTCCTTTTCTGAGAGTATGATTACGATTCAAAAAGTATTTATTTATCCAGTTTATACTTCTGACAGAAGCATAAAAACAAAACATATTCATGACTTGTGTCATTTATGAGATTGAAAAATAAGCCGATTTCATTAATCATAGGGACATTTCTCAAAAGGAAATGTTTGTAATAGGTGTTCAGATGCAGTGGGTGGCAGAGCCTTTGTGTTGTTGGTATATCATAAGAGGTAGATTCACTTTCAGGTCTACAGTAGAGCCAAATGCAAAAGTATTCACCCCCTTGGCCAGAAAGAAGCCATTGCTTCAGGAAAAAAAAACAAGAAAACACGTTTGGAGTTCGCCAAAAGGCATGCGGAAGATTCCCCAAAATGGATCGTGCGTGCACTTATTCAGAGGAACACGTCTATAGATGTAGTGGGTGGCTCTTAAAAGAGCCTTTGTGTTGTTGGTATATCAGCAGCAGTTTACTTGGAGCTGGTGTACTTGGTCACGGCCTTGGTGCCCTCAGACACGGCGTGTTTAGCCAGCTCTCCGGGCAGCAGCAGGCGGACAGCGGTCTGGATCTCCCTGGAGGTGATGGTGCGGCGCTTGTTGTAGTGAGCCAGACGAGAGGCCTCACCTGCGATGCGCTCAAAGATGTCGCTCACGAAGCAGTTCATGATGCCCATGGCCTTGGAGGAGATGCCGGTGTCGGGGTGGACCTGCTTCATCACCTTGTAGACGTAGATGGCGTAGCTCTCCTTCCTGGACTTTCTCCTCTTCTTTCCAGTCTTGCTGACGCTCTTAGCGACGGCTTTCTTTGAGCCCTTCTTGGCCGCTTTAACGGGGGGTGCGTCGGCAGGCATGATTAGAGAGTGAGGTTGGTCAGACTCGATGCCTCACAGACACAGCGCGGTCTATTTATATCCCCTCGATGCAAATACTGCTGTGCTGCTGCTCGCACGGGATTGGTTATCGTCTGCGCATGACTGAGCCCTACGATGTACTTTGATCTGCACCCCCCCCCCCCCCCCCCCCGTTTTATGTCTTATCCCTGTTTGGTAGCCGCTGGAATGAGCATGTTAAACACTCTTGTCTTTGTCTGATTGAATCAAGCGATCTTATTTAGCTGTGATGTAACACAACCAAGGGTCCTTCTATAATTGAATTAATGATATATATATATATAAATATATATATTTAGTAAAATAGCTATTCACATTTATATTCATATGTTTAAATGTTGTTATAAAATCAACAACATATTTATTATGTAGGTATTTTATGTGTTTTTTTCATTTAAATTATTCCAGTGTATTTCCACCTCAAGTAGCACCTCTGCTCAGTGCATTCTTTACATTTTGTATTAGAGCTGAAGTGTCTTTTTTTATAATACAAACTTGTTCATCATTTGAATTGAGCACATGTATTTATTCAGACGTGCTTGATTTTTGGACTGAGCTGTGAAAACGCCTTTTCAGCGTTTTTGATGCTGAGCACTATTTTTGCTCCAATCAAGTAAAACAAGACTCTTCTCTCCTGACTGTACGATTTATCTTTTTTAAAGATATTTAATTTAAAGACATTTAAATGTAAACTTCCATATTTAAATAAAGTTAATAATGCAACGCTGTTGCAGTGCTTTGTGATTAAGTAAAGTGACGAGCTTTTATGGAAATGTCTTCAGTCATTAACAGTCTAATTTTTTGGTAACAATTTTTTATTATTCCCATTTTCATCACTCATTGTGTTCATATATTGTCAAAGACAGTGGCGAGCCGTCAGGGCCCTCTAGGCCCTCTGTGAGGGCCTAAGATATTCCAAAAAATAATATTTAAAAACATTAAAAAAAAATATATTTTTTTAAAATATATATTTTTTTAATATTATTTTTGTTATATTTTTCATTAGTTTTACCGAAAAAAAACTTGATTTAATAAAATAACATTTCCAAAGAAATAAATCCTTCGAATCTGCCTGTTCAGTCTCTGTTTGAATGTCAGTTACTATAGCGGGCCTCTCTGCGATTCACAGAGGGCCCGCTATAGTAACTGAACGAGAGAGTAATGTCAAATGACAGTACAATTGACCAATCATATCTTCCCTCTAAATGGGTGGGTTTTATTATCGCGGACTTTATGACGACTTCCGCCCGCTGTGAAACTGTTCTTGTTTCCATAGCAACAACAACTTCCTGTCAACAGCGTGAACTCGCCTTCAAAATAAAAGCATGCCAAATTACACTTAAGACATACAACTGCAATGAAAGTAACAAACACAATGCAATATCATTTTCAATGTCAAAGAACACAAATTGGGTTCACAGGTGTTGTTTTGTGTGGTAGAGGGTCGCTGTCATTGATGCGTTTTGCACCCTGGGCCGTTGTTTTGATATTTCGCTGAAGTATACGCTGTGACGTAATAACGTCTTTTTTTCGAGGGAAGGGGTGGGGGTCAGAGGGCCTAGGTATAAAGCTCACGGCTCGCCACTGGTCAAAGATAAGACACAAATGACTGAACTCCAACCCTTTAGCACTGCATTAAATGCATTTATGAAGGTTAATGAATGTTCTTTGGTTCATGTGGTAATATATAGAACAGCGAGAGATTTGAACTATTATATATGTAAGCGCTTTGAGCATCAGGAAAAAGTGCTATATAAATGACAGGTATTATTATAATATAGCTAATGTATTAAATGTCTATTGCGGCTTTCACACCGGCGCTTTTCACTTTCTAGCTCCTCGCGAGAGCTTTTCTGGTTCAGCTCCCGTTTCCCTTTTCAGCTCCCGCTCTGTTCACACCGCTCACACCGCTCAAGAGCCGGGATGGTACTGCGTCATTGCCTCATCGTTTGCGTCATGACGTAACCGTTTACGTGCCTGCTTCCTAAAACCCAAACCGCGCGGAAATCACAACAACAATGGCCGATTGTATTGAAGCGCTGTTCGCTGTGGTTATCCTCTTACGAGACGAAATGGAAGGCATCGGACGACTTTTCAAGGGACGACTGAATATTGCCATGAAGTTGTGTACAACCAACCCCCTTTACACCCCTTTCCAGAGAACGGTAGACAAGAAGGAGCTGACGTTAGATCTGCATTGATGGAGTATTTCAACATGGGGGACCACTAATATTACTGCAGTTAAACCTGATCTATTTTGTATCATGCCTCTTACAATAAAATCACTGGATCAGACTTGAATTGTGTTTTCTTTTGTATACAAATCACAGAATGTAAACAGATAAACAGGTATGAACAATATTCTTATAAAAATAGTGCATACCCAAAAGGTTGCCCCCGCCTCCGCCTCGACGGACGTAAGAGAGACGTAAGCGACGCCGCGTCATAGCTCCAAAGCTCTTGCCTCTGGACCGACAACTTTTTGGAGCTGGAAGTGAACCGCATTCCGGAGCTATGACGCGCCGCCGCTGCGGTGTGAACAGGAAAAACCGGCGCTTTTCAGGCTCTAGCTCCCAGCAGGAGCTGGAAAAGCGCCGGTGTGAAAGGGGCATATGTGCCAGCAGTGGCTCTACAAGACAGTTCAAACATCAGAATAATGTGCATGGTAGCCTACCATCTGTGTGGGAATTAAATGTGCAGTAGATGTGTTCCTTCAGTTGGCCATCATAACAAGGTGAATGATGGATGAACAGTGGGATATTTCTAATAATGGAAGGAGAATTCCCCAGGAAACCTTTATAAAACTATAACAGGGTTGCCAACTTTGGGTACCTGGCTGGAGTGAGATTTTGATATCATGGGTTTAATTCGGTTTAATTACACATGTGCGCACGAAATGACTGCTATCGTGTCAGCAGCGGGACCTTAGCATATATATAGGATATATATACAATATATACAAATACACAATAATGGACACAGACTATAAAGGGCACACAGTTTCATTCACTGATGAAAGTCAAACATGTTTGTTTCCACTGTTTTATTGTGTGCCTGTCGCGATAAGCAATTCATTGACTTATCGTATGATGAATAAAAATGAACTCGATAACTTTTCTGACCTCGATACATTTCCATTTACATGAGGATGTGACTAGCAGTTTGAAAGGATGTACTTGAATTATTATTATATATTATCATTATGTCAGTGGTCTAAAATGGTCATACAACGGTGCCAACAATATTATCGTTTATCGCAATAATTTCCGGGAAAATGTATCCAACAAAATTAATTATCGTGAGAGGCCTATACATGAAACACACACACACAAATCTACAGACTTACTCCAAACTGCCAAATATATGAATTAACACACTCTCACTCTCATACTCTTTGACTCTATTTTGGCTATAGTAGAACAATAAGCAGCAGACTTTTACTTTTTTATCATTTCTACTGGATCTTAGATCTGCGCATGCGCTCCAGAGTATTTTTGTTGGGTAATCTATGGTAGGGCTAACCCTTGTGGTGGGGCTCAAATCAGTATTTGCAATGTAATTACATACACGCTCCCCCCGACAGTGAAACGCCACGCGTGAGGTTTAGATTATTTTCCTGTCTCAATCCAAATTGAACTGTATGAAATAAAAAGGCACATTTGTCTTGTAGTAAATAAAAGGGCGACCTGGAGCCAATCCTGCAATTTCCCCACAGGTGAAAGAGTTGACATGCTGAAAACCCAACCCCTGCAGGGGGTCTGGGGGGATTCTCCCCCAGGAGATTTATTTTAAATACTAACATAAAATACACATTCTGGTACTCTCTTGAGAAGAAAAAATAAATAAATCTATTACTACACATTTAAAAAAATGAATGCCATATTAGTTTTTTGTTACTTTGTTCTGAAAGCTGAACCTGCTGCAGCAGTGCTGCTCCTCACAGAGAGAAGAGGGAAGAGGCTGTGTGAATTACTTTACATTGTGGATAAGGGTAGATAGCCCCATTGTTCTGTGTGTCAAAATGAAAGACAGCCCACACACCTATCAATCATCAAACCGTGGGGTCTTATTTCATTACGTGTTGATTTCTATCGTATTCTTCTTCGTATTCTTCTTTTTGGCGTGAGAATAGTTTGGGCAGCGTGAGGTTGAGTGAAAGCGTGTGTCACACGCTAGATGCGTGAGAGTTGGCAACCCTGCTATAAATAATAAAAGGAAGGCGATCTTTAGTTAGGGGTGAGTGTGGCTCTTAAAAGAGCCGTTGGTTTGTTTGAAAGGATGGTTCCTGTGGTTTACTTCTTGGCAGCCTTCTCGGTCTTCTTGGGCAGCAGCACAGCCTGGATGTTGGGCAGCACACCGCCCTGAGCAATGGTCACTCCTCCCAGCAGCTTGTTGAGCTCCTCGTCGTTGCGGACAGCCAGTTGCAGGTGACGGGGGATGATACGGGTCTTCTTGTTGTCGCGGGCAGCGTTTCCAGCCAGCTCCAGGATCTCAGCGGTCAGGTACTCCAGCACAGCCGCCAGGTAGACGGGGGCTCCGGCTCCGACGCGATGAGCATAGTTACCCTTCCTCAGATGTCTGTGGACACGGCCGACAGGGAACTGGAGCCCGGCACGAGAGGAGCGGGTCTTAGCCTTTGCTCTGGCTTTTCCGCCGGTTTTGCCTCTTCCACTCATTTTTAGATGTACTTTCGAAGTCGGTACAAAATAAAGTACTAATTCGACCGAAGAAAACCCTCCTTTATATGTTCGAGGAGCGCGGGATGGTTCGCAGCAGAGGGCGGCACTTTTTGAAAGGATTTTCCTCCAATAAGCGGCGGATTCTGGCAGAGTGTCGCTCCTCTGGGCGGAGCTGAGCTCCAAAACGAGCCTTGACCAATTAGAAGTCGAAGGACTGAAGCTGCGTCACCATTTCACAGCCGGTTCCAAAGCTTAATATAAATAATGAGGCGAAAGTAGCCAGCAAAATAATAGGAG